GCTAACTCCTGCTGAGCTCAACATTTGATATACATTTATGGGTGGCCTGTTGGCTGTAAAAACAATTGAACTATTCATAACTCCACTAACCACGTTAACTCCTTCCTTTGTCTGCCAGCTTTTCATTGAACAATTGCAAGATAAAGATACTAGAGACTTCAGTTCCTACCACAGAACCAATTACATTTATCTGGACAATTTATTAATATACCTATATACTGCAATTACAGACACTTGATCTGAGCCTAGACAAGCTGCATCCTAATTCCTTTTACACTGCTCTCCTTATTCAAGTACACTTTCTATCACAGATTTATTTGTGCAAGGGGGTGGCTGATACTGACTCTCTTCAAGGTGGGATATATACACATAATCAGAACTAATCCATCCCTGTGGAACTGGAGCAGGAACCAAATAGCCCTACTTGGCCATAACTGGTAGGAATTAGAAGCACAGGGCTTTGTTCAGGAACCTCCCTGTGACAGGAGTGATCTTGCCAGCCTCTGCCCCATTTTTCATCTGGATTTCTTTGAAAAACATCAGTGAGAATTAAAAACAGGGCCCAGCAACATTTCGACCCCATCTGACAACTAGTGCAAATAGTGCAGCCAGTGGCAGTCAGCATAAGTTTGCAGACATAAGTATTTTTGGAGATAGCAGTGGATTTATACTGTCTCCTCAGCAAGTGTCGTGTACAGTCATCCTGCACATAGGTCCTCAGGTCTGTGGGTTGATTTAATTTTCCTTTCATTCACTTGAAACACCAAGCCACTAAGCTTCTGTAAGCACAGGACTTTGTACATGTTGTTGAATAAACTCAATCTGTGTATATTTTGGAACACGATTGAAAAGTTGCTAATAAAATCGCACAGGACTAAAATAAGTATTATCTTGGGTTGCTTAAACTCGATGAAAAAGGTATGTGCAGCTTCAACAGAACAGGCTGTCATGGTAGTATCGCTGATTTCAAATTTCTAATTTGGATCTGAACAATCTCAGAATTCAGGTGTGATTTGGACTGGTGTTCACCAGACAAAGATTAATTTTCACAATGATTCGCTCAATTTAGGCATGTCTGATCACAAAGAAAACAGATAATGCCTTCAAGGATACCTTCAAAGGCAATTTCATATGCAAATTCTCAGGCTGGTTCAATACTGCCAACCTCATACATTCGATAGCCAGTAGTCCTGATAAAAATGGGAAAAAAAAAAAAAAGGTATTTTGGGTCTTGACTTTTAATTCTCGATGCTTGAGCCCACCAGCATGTTCTTTAGGATCAGCTAATTCTCATTCAAGACTAGGCCCCCGCTCCACCAGCATCCCTGTACAATACTGCTGCTTGTCTTAGGTCAACACAAGCTACTGTGCAGCCGAGGGGAGAGCTAAATGAGTTTTACAATCTGGCCAAAAACCCACCATGAGCAAAGGTTAGTTGTCCTCAGGATCAGCTTGTGCGGACAGAGAGGAGCCAGGAACTCTCCAATAGATGGGCTTAACTGAGCATGTAGCTGCATAGGAATTTGCGTTATTTTGATGAGTCACTAGAAAGGCCTCCAAAAAAAACCCCAGAAGATGAGTTTTTCAGTGGATGAAGCAGAAGTCATTCTGCAGATGTGCACTTGCTATCCATTGCGATCCAAATGCAATCCAGGACAGTGGAACAGCAGGAGCACAGTTCGATTTATACTGCATGCAATGTGAAGCCAACCCTTTGATCACACTGCCCTGGGATGATATTTTCAAGGTTTTCTCTGCAACCCTGAGAGGTAGAGTTAGATTTATTTTACTTAGAGAAAGGTACTAGTCACCCATCTAGAAGAACTAATGTTTTAAAAAGGGCCAAGGCAGCAGCAATCTGAGCAATGTGAAGAAAGACAGACCCCCCTCCTCTTCCCTCCCGCCCCCCGCTCCCTCCTGCTGGGTAAAATGGGCCTTGTTCTCTCTCGCAAAATGCTTTCTCTCAAAGACAGTTTGCAGTAGCAGCCAGGCTACATTTTGAATCTAGCACGGGGTAAACCAGAATGACTAATACAGCTGTTCTGCTCAGGTACTGCTTAGTCCAGTCTGTTTCTGCAGCAGCTTCCACTATGCAGAGCAATTCTTTTCAGCCAGGAAAAACAAAATCACACACAAAAAAACCCACCAAAACCCAAACAAACAAAAGCAAACAAACAAAACCCCTCAAAAGGTCTCTCTGATTTCTCTTAGGGGCTTTGACTGCAGCGTTTCCTCGTTGTCTTGCACTGCATTGTGCAAGTTTTAGACCCTTACCATTGCTAATTTGGGCTTTTGGTGAAGGTAAAGCTGATACTTGAAAGGCAGAGACATGTCTGCTCTTAAGCACAGAAAATACACAGTATCACATCAGAAGGAATGGCTATGACAAATTGCAACGCAGAGGCTTCAAGTCAGACAAAGTGCATCTCTCGAAGTGATTTAGTTATTTTTTTACCCCATGAAATAAGTGACATCTCTCAAAAAAAAAGGCTCCTTGTAGGGAACTTGATCCTTTGGAAGGGAGGATGAGTGGTGATTACAGATGAAATGCAAAGGTGCTTTCAGCATAGCGGCTGGTTGTTCGATTTTCTAATACAGCACATCACACTGTTAATGGAAATGTAGCTTTTCACCTTCTGTTTTTCTCCCAGTAGAATTAATTCAGCACTCTTTGCATGCCAGGCATGCAGTGTCACAGCTGGGAGCTCTGGAAAGAGGGAGAAAGCACAGCTTGCACCCGGCCTATGTGATAAGATCACATAATGTCTGCAATAAAGCTGGGAACTCAACCCACCGCCTTTGCCAAGTGACTTCATCGCAAGATCATCTTTGTTCTTGTCCACAGGAACTGCTCTACACTATTGCAGCCTGACGGAGCCGACAGACTGGGGGGAAAGCGTCTGGTTGTTCTGGAGTCCTTTGGCAGATCTGCAGGGACAGAAGTTTCCTGTTCTACTCTGTGATGTAGCAGAAGGCGGCGGCGGTGGGGAGGGAAACACCTACAAATTCCCACAGGAACTGCTATCCCTTCCAGTATGCTCAATTTCTTTCCTAGCTGTAGCCTACACATCCATACCTGTCAGGATTGCCGCTCTTTCAAGACTGTGAGGGCCTAGTTACTCAGAAACAACACAGCGCAGAGAGGAACAGCTGTTAAATGCTGGTGAAAGAACTGCACTGGCAAAGCAGCACAGGCTGCAAAGTGTTTGGGAAGC